GGTCTCTTCAGACTTTGTTTTACACGTTTTATTTCCTGAGGGGCCTCGACGTTTGACGATGAAGCTGCCGACGTTGCTGCTGATTCGTCCATCGGTCTCTCGCTGTTCCAGGTGTGACAATAACTCCTGATCCTCTGTCTGTGTCTCCGTCAGGATCTCGGCTCTGTCCAGGTAGAAGTTACTACAGACATCATCATCACCCTCCTCTTCGATGCAGACTTTTCTTTTTGTGTGCGTGTCGGCGGAGCGAATGCCTCCCGAGGCGGATCGTTTTAATCCAGAGTCTCTCGTCACTTTTGTTTTTCTTTGTGTTGGTCTCTGGTTCGTGTGTGAGTCTGAGTGTGTTTGTGTGTGCGACGGTGAGACGGTCTGAATGACAATAAAAATGAAATCTGCATTTTTAAATATCTTGTTTACGATTATGCCTGTGATGAACCTTCAAATTAAAAGTATTTCTATTATATAAAACTCTGCGTTCTGCTCCGTTTCTTTCTGCACAAACTCGACATTCTGGATGTGAAGTCTGCAGCTTTGAAGTAGAAAATATGCAAATGTTCTGTTTACATTTTGAGTTATGGAATAAATATTAGCTGCACGATGTTTTAACGAGCCCTGTGTAGCAGCACGTTCCACCTGAGTGTTCACTTTTACATTCAGCAGGTAATCCTTATGGTCATAACCTCCAACTTAAGTTAATCAGATTCATTTGTTTGACATATAATAATGTTGGGGTTTCACCTTAATATTTGGTTTGTATTTTATATGATATTAAAGAGTTTTGACTAACATTTAAATCAGTCTGGTGAATTTGTTGTTTGTTTTGTAAATGTAATCTTACTTCTCTGCTGGAAAACACTCCGTCCTAGTCTGGTGTGTGATGTGTATTTTTAAGCAGAGATTCTTCAGAGGATTTTATTCACTGTGATTGTCGAGAAAAGGATTCAATCTGCAGTAAATCAAACTCTCGCCTCCAAAATATGATTCATAAAAAAACACTTTTATTCAAACAGCAGCAGGGTTCCTAAACAGAGCGAACGTCCTGGAGGCGTCGGACGCTGATGTTCACGCTGCGTAACACTCAGTCCACATGAGGACAGGTAATCCATACATTCCCCTGTGATGATAAAACACCGATTAAACTGTTTCCTGTTTTGTCTCCTCAGTTGTTGCCTGCTGACGTCTGACGGCCTGAAAAGACAAAATCAGAAAATAAGGAAACTTTTGGACCGTTAATCAATTTCAGTTTTACTCAGACAGACTTCAGGAAGCGTGTAGCTGCACCGTCTGAGGTTCTGTTCAGTTTATTTGTTGGTTCTGTGAAATATTCTGGCTGAATTCTGATCGTGTCACTCTTGGAGGCCTGGAGATGTTCTGCATTCAACCCCAAAAACCAAACAAACCACGAAGCCGTTTTAAGGGTTCAGCATCTCCAGAAACAAAACTCAGACATGAAACGTGGTGAGAACTCAGAACCGCTTCCATCAGATCAGAATCACTGAATGGATCCAGCAGAGGACACAGTTAGTTGTTGTGACAACGCTAAAAAGCATAATCGTAGCTGGTGCTGATCCAGAAAGTTCCGGTCAGTGTCTGTCTATGGATGGATCCATGGTTCTACTAGAATCCAGTCTCTGGTCACATTTCCTGTCATCAGAATAGAAACTCGAGGGTCCATCGATTTGTCCAAAATCACGGTTTTTAAATTAGTCAAAATTTGCACAAAGTTACTCAAAATTGTTCTTTTAAAGGTCCAGTGTTCAGACTGAGACACCTGGATGGATGTAGAACTGATCTGGTGTCAGGTTCTACCAGAACCCAGATGTGTTCTTCCTCCTAAATGTCATGTGTCTATCTGCTGTTCTGATGAAGTTCTGAGGCTCAGAAATGCTGGAAAAAGTCCATTAAAGTGATCAATCTGGACCCTCCTCTGTGGACTTGAAGGACCTGGACCTCTGGAACATTCACAGTCTGAAGGTAGAACTCTGGTCAGTAGATGAAGGTTCTGCAGATACAGAACCAGGTGTTCTGAGGAGGTTCTGGTTGGATTTTTTTTTTTTAGAGTCGCTAGTAAAACCTTTAAAACTGCATCTTATTCATGTGCTGCTTGATCATGACAGAGTTTGGTTCTGCAGAACATCTACCTGTGCAGGTGAGCTCCACGGCGGAGGAGGAGAACCACGGCCGAACACTGCCGCAGTCCATCAGCGCGGACTCGGACCCGTCGCAGTCGGAGAAGAACCTCCACACTTGCGTCCTGTCAACCAAGTCCACGGTTCTGGTGGAGACGGCAGAACCGCAGCCCAGCTGTCGACACACCACCGCGGCCAGCTGTAGGTTCCACACCGCGGACTCGGCACTCACCAGTCTGGTCTTGGAGAACAGGTGGAGCAGCAACCGGCCCGAACACACCACGAGGTCGTCGTCGTCTCCGAGGACGCCGTCGTCCAGCATCACCTCCATGTTGTCTGCAGGCAGAACCAGCACAGAACACAGCAGCGTTCTGGATCAGAACAACCGTGAGAACAGCAGCAGACATCTGTCATCTGACTCTGGACCTCTGAGGGTTTTCAAAGAATCTCTGGTGAAAGGGTTCTCTGTGGAACCAAACGGTTCCTCTATGGTTCCAGGAAGCACCTTCATGTTCCTGAGTGAACCTTCCACCACATAACCTCCAGTCCTTCAAAGAACCACGTAAAGCTCACGAAGAACCGTCCTCTAAATCAGGAGGTTCTTCAGCTAGTGATGGCATTTTGAAGAACCATATAAGAACCGTTGTCTTTCTGACGTAGACAGAACTTTTGTAAAACGTTCCACCTTCCACGGCGACGGAGAGGCTCAGACCCTCCGAGGACAAGTTGTGGTTGAAGACGCGGTTGTGATAAACGCAGCTGTAGTTCCCCTGATGTTCCTCGTCCGCCCCAGAGAACCTGAAGCTGGCCGAGTAGTTCTGAGCTGCCGCGGTCCAGCTCTGGTTCCTGTTGGATCCGGAGAACCGGAGGCTGAAGTGGCCTCCATAGAACCGAGGCTCCACGGAGCACCTGATGGTGAAGCTGTGGCCTCTCCACACCGACTTGTCTGGACTCGCTGCTTCAGAGAACCTGAAGAACAGCGAGATGGTGGGCCGAG